TCTGCCTAGGCAGGGGGTTGGACTAGAAGACCTCCAAGGTCCCTTCCAACTCTGCTGTTGTATTGTATTGGATAAAGATGGCTTTTTAAGCTATCATATAATGAGCCACCTGGGGGCAAGTTTTATTCATCCCTCCCCAATCTTATTTGGATAGCCATATAGGACAAATGTGAGCTTTGACTGGCATAAACCTCCTCTATTCCTTTCCATTCCTTTTGCCCCAAATAGGAGTCTTCATGGGGGCCCAGCCGCTGCCCTTTGCCGCCCAGCCCCCGGCTCATTTTCCAGCGTTTCCAGCCATGGGAGGCCCTGTGCCCGTGCCTGTACCGGTGCCAACGGCCCCCGCAATGATGGGAAACCTGATGGCGCCCCCAGTGCCTGTAATTGGACAGAATGTAGGCATGATGGTGGGCATAGGAATGCCGAACGGCTTTTCGGTCACTACACAAACTGCTGGTTTGGGACTCCCTCAAAGCATTGGCGGGTCCCAAGGAACAGTATTGGGACAGATACCCCAGCCCCAGAAATACGGCATGCAGCCCCAAGCGCAGCAAACTCAGTGGAACGTTTCACAGGTGAGTATGTGCTTTTTCTGTTCGTTTGGGAGAGAACACGATGGCTGGAGAATTTAGGGGTAGGATTCAAATGTCAGTAGTTGGGATTAATTAAATGGGAAAAAAATAATTGAAGCGTTATATTAAAATAAGAAAATTATCTACCAAAGATAGTTGAAAAATCTGATTCCCCCCCCCTTTCTCGTTGAGAATTGTAACCGTGTTACTACTTCTACTTTTTCTACTTTAGAAAACGTAAGTGCAAGATCCATGCTTTTTATTTGGCCCATCATTCACTGCTAGCCTCTCATTCCCAGCCCATTGGAAATACATCCTGCGCTGTTTTATTTCAAACAAAAAACAGTGGTGCTGCCTTTTAATTGGAACTGTCTTGAGCCCTTCAGTGCAGATGGGAGCCCCAGTTCTGATCCGTGACCTGACAATTGTGCGCACGACAAAAGCGTGCTGATAAAACCACTGCGTGAAAACCGCAACATCATCAACGCGCCGACAACAGCGCGATTTAAGTTTAGGTAAGGGTTAAGGTCAGGGTTAGGTTTAGGGTTAGGTTTAGAGCGCGCTTCTGTCGGTGCGCTTCAGCGCTCAATTGTCGGCGTGGTTTAGAACTCACGGTTTTTTCACCGCGCTTTTGTCGGGCACCCTGTTACAACCTTTGTTGCCGCCTTTATTATGTGAGTCACTGAAGTTATTAAACGAGTAACACGGTCGAGAAGTGAGCCTGCCTTCCCCGTTGCCTTTGCTTGTCGGGAGGTTGCAAAAGTTGATCGCGTGACCCGGGGACACCGCAACAGTCACCAATATGAACCAGTTGTCAAGCAGCCAAATGTCAAATCACGTGACTGTGATGGGGGGAGGGATGCTGCCATATGTGTCAAAAATGGGCATAAGTCACTTGTTTCAGTGCTGTTGTAACTTTGAACGGTCACTAAGTGAACTATCGTAAGTCAAGGACTACCTGTACAAATTAGGAGTATTAATGTGTCCTGTGATGATTTCCATTTTTTTTTTACATTGGTTCCTGGATTGGGTCTGTTCATTATGCTTTTTCACCTTGATTCTTATTTTTAATATACATTTATATTGTCTTTCCAACACTTCTACATCTTTTAAATATCCATTGTTTCTTTTATCTATCTATCTATCTATCTATCTATCTATCTATCTATCTATCTATCTATCTATCTATCTATCTATNCTGCCGGCTGCCTGCAATTTGGCAGTTCAGCTCTCACCAGGCTCAAGGTTGACTCAGCCTTCCATCCTTCCGAGATCGGGTCCTTCCGAGGACCCAGATTGTTGCGGGCAATATGCCGACTGTAAACCGCTTAGAAAGGGCTGTAAAGCACTGTAAAGCGGTATATAAATCTTACGTGCTATTGCTGTTAAAAGGACATTGCTAGTCACTATTGTTGTATTGCTACTGCAATATTTAAATGCTACAATACTATTGCGCTAAATTACTGTTACTATAATAATGTCCACTAGTATAGTTCTGCCATTTAAAAAGTGATTCTGGGATTAAATTCAGGATGTCCTAATCAGATGTCAGATATCTAAGTCAGATATACTGCTGCACTTTGATATAATTAATCCCCAAAACTGTGGAGGAAGGGATGGAAAAGAAAAGAGATTTATATATATTTTAAAAAAAGAACATTAAGTAAGCAGCAAAATTTGCATGATAAAAGAACTGTGTGAGGTGTTTAAAAATATTCAGAAACAGAAATGAGCATTGCACCCTAAAGTCAGCTATAACTAGCAGAGTAAAACCTGCAGGGATTCCTTTATCTTCACCTTTTATTCTGAAACAAAAGATGATGAACAAATAAGACAGCTTAACAACAAATAAATGTCAATCAAGAAAATAAAGGAATTTGGAGAGATGACATGGCTCTTGAAATGAAAGCTTCTGCCTGTAAAGTAAAATTGATTTAACAAGCTGCTGTTTATGGGACTTGGGGTGTGGCAGAAAAAAAATCTACATCCAGACATTTCCCTAAAATAGCAGATTAAATTTGTTGTATTAACAATTCACTTAAATGTACGCTATTTGCATTGAGTTCCCATCATCTGTATAGTAATGCAAATTACATCATTATACAAATGATGTAAATTAACACGGGTTACCTGGAGGCTTTGGGTTTAATAGACATTTGAGACTTGGCAGTAAATGGACATCCCTCTCCTCCCCCTTTCCTCTTAGGCTAATTGTGTCAAAGGTACACAGGAAATAGGAAATATTAGGAAATATTTTCACCTTTAAAAATATAGCAATAGCAGTTAGACTTATATACCACTTCATAGAGCTTTCAGCCCTCTCTAAGCGGTATACAGAGTCAGCATATTGCCCCCACAGTCTGGGTCCTCATTTCACCCACCTCGTAAGGATGGAAGGTTGAGTCACCCCTGAGCCGGTGAGATTTGAATCACCGAACTGCAGATAACAGTCAGCTGAAGTGGCCTGCAGTACTGCACCCTAACCACTGCGCCATCTCGGCTCTTACTACACTGCCTTTGGTCTCAACTAAACACAGTACACAAAATTGTCTCTTACCTGTCAATGACTATTTCAGCTTCAACCTCAATAATTCTCGGGCAAACAATCGATACAATCGATATGGTTGTATTTTAAAGTCGCACAGCCCAAGGATAGAAACTATCCTTAAACCTGTTTGTTCGGCTGGCTCTACTTTGACG